ATTAACATACAATCAGAATCACATTTCAGTACAATCAGATTACCACCACAGCTTACTCCTCCCAGCCCCCATCTCCTCTCTCCACCAGATCCATTGCTCCTCTGATTCTCTTGAGAAAAGAGCCTCCCAAAGATATCAACTGAACATGGCATGAAAAGATTCAATAAGACTAGGCACAAACCCTCATAGCAAGGCTGGGTGAAGTAACCCAGTGAAAGGAAAAAGATCCCAAGGGCAGACAATAGGGTCAAAGACATCCCCACTCCCAGTGTTAGGAGTCCCACAAAAAATACCAAGCTAACAAGCAAAATTAAAATGCAGAGGACCTAATGCAGGGCCATGCAGACCTCATTATTGCTGCTTCAGGCTCTCTGAGCCCCTATGAGCCATTCTTAGTTGATTTTTGGGCCATGTTATCCTCCTGGTATTCTCGGCCCATCTGATTCCTACATTTCCTCCTCTCCCTATTCTTCAGGGTGCCCTGAGCTCCAACAGGAGAATCCCAGTGGAGGTCTCCAGTTTAGGTTCTGCCTAATGTTTGGCTGTGGGGGCTGGTGGCCATGTGAGGGGAGCATCAGGTGGCCATTAAGTTTCAAGCAATTAGCCCACCAGGAAGGAAGGCACTGATGGGTGAATCTTACATAGGCGAGGCCCTGAGGGCTTTGGCTCTGGACTGTCTCTTGCTATTGCTGTGCCTTTACATGGTTGCTGCTTTTCTCTGGTCTTCCATTTTTCTCTGGTATCTGGCATGATGTAAACAGGTTTAGGGAGATCTCCACTGCCTTTAATGTAGTGGGATTGGAAATATTCTGCTCTACTTGGCATGTTTCCTATGGATTATTATGAAGATGATTTCCTCTTAAGGTGTACTCTTTAACTGAAGCAGTGATTTTATACTATAATAGTGTTAGTGTAAATGGGATTTGATGACTAAGAGTTTTTGATAAATATAGTGAGGGACTGTGATAGAGGTCAGCTGAGTGGGAAATTAACATAGGTAAAGGTAGGATTAGTGTTGCCCAGCCCTGACAATACAGGGGCTGCAGAGGATAGAAAATAAGAACAAGGAAGAGTCACACAGCTAAGACTCATGAGTTTACCTTGAAGAGCTATATAGATTGTGGGTTTGGTTAGGGATTAAGAAAAACAATTGGGTCTCAGGAGCCAGGCTGGCTCAAGTTCATTTAATCTTGAATGTGTTCATGATTTTCAGTGGGCATCATACCTGAAACAACGGTTTCAATAAGGACTTCATGTAACTACAACACAAAGAATTGAATGGCTAGTTAAGATAATTGGGCAGGACTCTAAAAAATATGAAAAGTGAAACTAGTAACTTTCCCTCCATCAGGACAAGAAACCCAAGGGCACAGTAGTGCAGGTGTTCAAGGAGCAACTAAAGCAGGACGAAGAGTCTATGAGGTAAAAGCTCCTCCATGATTGCTCCTTTGCACACTGCAGAGGCCTAAACACAAGTAAATGGTGGCCCCAGCCACCCTAGTCACTGCAGAGTATGCATGGGGAGCAGCCACACGGGGAGAGCACCCCACTCTACACCCTCCCACTGCTATGTGTCTGGGCAAAACAATCTGAGCTCTCTGGTGGGGAGGAGCCTATGAATCTTTCTGGGCCCACCCCTCTCAGTTTTTCCTCCTTTTCCACTGGGA